TCTGCGCTGTAATTAGCCCAGTTTTGCTCACTTGCTTGCTTGTTATAATTACGGCATGAAGAATTGTTTCTGTCACCAGTAACCAGCTTGTACCCAGGAGGAGACATAGGTGACAGGGGAGCGGTTGGTGAAGAGCAGCCATTGAAATACGCATATTTTGGAGATCCACAGTCTTTTGAGGGGCTCAGTGGGCCAGTGGTAGCGTGGTAAGGATCACTCCTTCCCTTCACACGATCCTTAACGCCCTTGAAAAAGACATAGAAGAGTTCGATGATATTCAAGGCAAGAGACACCAAGGACACCACCAGCATGAAGATGATGAAGATGGTTTTCTCTGTGGGGCGAGAGAGGAAGCAGTCCACTTGATGTGGGCAGGGGTCTCTTTTGCAAGTGTAGACAGCACTCAAGCTGAATCCATAGATGTACCACTGGATCAGCAAGAAGGCCACCTCGAAGACAGACTTGAAGAGGATATTGATGATGTAGGTTCTCAGCAGCCCTCCTCGAATCTTCACTTTACCGTGCTCCTCAATGCCATACTTGAACTTCTTTATTTCGATCTGCTTCAAGTGCATCTCCACGTTTGCCCCATCAGTTTGGACAACTTTGAGCTCCTCCTCCTTCTTGTTCAGTTTCTCTTCTTTTCTCATCACATAGAACACATGAGCCAGGTACAAGAGTGTGGGTACGGACACGAATATGATCTGCAGGACCCAGAAGCGCACATGAGAGATTGGGAAAGACTTGTCGTAGCAGACGTTTTCACAGCCAGGTTGTTGGGTGTTACAACGAAAGGCGGACTGCTCATCACCCCAAGCTGATTCAACTGCTGTCCCCAGTAGCAGGATTCGAAAAATGAAGAGAACAGACAGCCACACCTTCCCTCCAGCAGTGGAGTAGGCTTGGACCTTATCAAGGAGTTTGCCTAAGGCACTCCAGTCACCCATGATGCCTGGATACCTCTCTTTTGCTTAAAGAAGTGAAGTAGGCACTCCAAGTGATTGAACTCCGTGGAGGATGAAGTAAAATGAAAAGGCAAGTTCAGGCACTCAGACCTGGCTATTTAAAGTTTAAAAGTCTGCTGCTGTTTGGTACTTTCCTCACGCCTTCCCCCCAATGAAAGAAAAGTGCTGATACCTCGTAAAAGCTTTTTTCTAACTTGGAGCACAGAGCTTTTAAAAAGTTTCAAGCCACTGACTCAACTTGGTGTCTACCTCTTAGATAAGGATCCATTGTGAGAGATTATCAAGATTCAGCCCTTCTAACTTTGAAATTAGGCTGCCTTCTAGACTCTCACAAGACACCTCTTCTTTTATATTCCCCTCAACTGGCAGGAAAAAAAGACCAGAAGTTCTGTCTCACTCAATTAGAGTCAATTATTCCCTTTTCTCTCCTACTTCAGGAGCCAAACTATTTACTTCCTCTATTAGGGACATCACCCAGAGGACTGACAGCCTTGCCTCCCACTTCAAGTTGAGAAGTGGTCCTGTGAGTATGAGGACCCAAAAGGACAAAGGGAACATGTAAGATAAATTGTAAAGGCACAGTTAGCTGCAAATGTCCTCTCTTAAATTAAATAGTTATCAAGAAGTTAGCATACCCTATTCTGAATAAGGCCCAATTCTTCCCATCACCACCACTAAAGAGTATTAACTAATGATAGGCTTAGGACAGACAGACCAGGATTTATGACAAGAAAGGCATCTAAGGGTTTCATGGTCTCCCAAGGTTACAAGTCACAGGGTAAGGGTGGATAGTCCAAGGCTTGCACCTTTTTCTTGGCCAGGCCTGAAGAAGAACAGAAGTTATGACCATACTGATAAGGCAGCAGTTAAGTCTAGAGGTCATGAAAAGAGGGGAGGGAACTGTGACCACGAGATGCTCCAGGATCAGGGAGACATCTCCTAGCTAAAGAGACAGTTTCCTAGGCATAGGTGCCTATGTTCTATTCACTTTCATTTGTGATTTGTTTTGTTTTGTTCAGACGGGAGCCTCAGCCTCAAAAGTAATACCAAGGGATGACCTATTTACAGTTGAGAAAAAAGAAATGCCTGATAATTTTCTACAACAAACCTGGCGAGATTTCCATCTGGGGGAATAAAACAATGGTCTCCAAAGGGAAACATAAATGAACATCACTCCTTAAGAGACTGGTTTTACAAAGGGAGAGGGGGAAAATGGTCAAAAGTGCCCTGTGAATGAGATTTTTTTTTTTTTTTGCCTCCCATGCTCAAAACAGGGGCTTTTCCTCCTCTTTCGCTGCCTACCTGATACCCATCTAATAAGTAAGCCACATAAGCAGATGCCCAAATCAGTTGGAGACCAGAGAAGGAAAGTTTCACTTTTAAATATAAGCTGCTGTGGATTCAAATCATAATAGACTGTTTTCTCTTTTCTTGTACTCTGGTATTCTGCTCTCTCAGTAAATTCCTTCCTAAATACTAGAGGACAGGAGAGTCAGATGGAGGGGATCTGGAAAGGCCAGCTACCCCAGGTCCTGGACCTTTTGGGGGCTCTTAAGAGTTCTGCATTGTGTTTGGGAAATAATGGAGCAGATATTACCCAAAATCAGAGTCTCAGCTTCAGGAACCTGACAGGAAAGACTCAAGAATGTCAGGGGATTCCCTGCTTCCCATGGGGTTTCCTCTTCTCTCCAGGGAAGAAAAATGAAAAGATCCCATCTGTACCAGTCTTCTTTGCCTTAAGAACCATTTTCCTGAGGAACACATGGCCTCCTACATTCTTCAAATATCCGGACCGACTCTAATCTGATCCAAAACTGCACTCTGTTCTGATAGAAATATTCTGTGTGCTCTTTTACTAGAGTGATCACGGATGCATTGTTTTCTTCAGAACTTTTTTTTTTCTTTGAGCTCATAAGTTTTTGTGGTAAATTCACACTTGATCCTGCATGCCTAAATTAATATATATTGTTCTGTTTAGCCTTGTTTTAACTATAGAGGGTTTTTGTTGTTTTGTTTGTTTGTTGCCTTCTGTATGTTCTTCCTGCTGTCTTTATTCAAAAGTCAATTATTCAAAATTCAAAAATCTTTGTTTCCTGTTTTCATGTATATTTATGCACACCTGTGTATTGTATCTGTGTCTATACATGTGTCTTTGTCTATGTGTCATTTACTTGGTACCAGAATTGGCATTATTGCTCATAAATTAATTTTTTTTTAAAGTAATGGATCCAAATACCTTTTAGTCCACATGACTTAGACCTTTAAGAAAAAGTTCCATTCAAATTGGTTAAACAGATAAAAGTAAAGATGTCTTTATACATTTTTCTAAGTGGTCAGACAATCAATAGAATTTTGATTTCTATAAAATGTTTGAAGTGTAATGTCTATTGCTTCTAGATTTTTCTTCAGCAGGGAAAAGATGGCTTATACTGTTAACTACACTTGACTGACATCCTGGTTTTCATGGGTAGCTTAAAGTTACAGTTAAAAAAAATGAGTAAATCAGATCTAACATCAATGGGATTAATCTTCATAAATGTATCAGTTAAGAGGAGACACCTGATTAATATGCAAAATTAAAATACTGAGACATCAACCATTAAATAAAAATTCAAGTACTCTTGATTTCTTGAATTCTAAAAGGTAATATACATTTGACTATATTAAATGTGTTTATAAATTGGTAAATGAAAAGACTTTAAGATTATTTAGTTTCTGGGTCTTCATTGAAAGCAAGGATACTAAGAGTTAAAATTCTAACAGGAATAATTCTATATGCAAAGAGTACAAAAAGTTCCAGCTGTTTCAATTAAAGTGCTGTAAATAATAAGAGGAGTAACTGGAGGAAAAAATCAAATTTTCATCTTATTAAAAGGGGTAATTGGGGGAAAAATCAAATTTTCAAATTTCATAAAGATTGTTTCAGAATGTAAATTTAAGAAAGGGTCAGCATCTAGGAAAGAGATATAAGAAAGTTCTAGGTATTGAACTAAATATGTTTGTCCAAGCTTTATCTAAGTGCTATGTAAACATTTGTATTATAGAAATGAAGTGCATTTATACATCAGATAATAAGTCTATTTCTGATCATCAACACTGTTTCCTAAACACATGAAAGCTTTGAAGTTGTACTTTGATTTTTGTCTGTGTTGCTAGTCTATGCAGACCTATGATTATAGTTACTCTACATTATAAGTTCTAAATTTTTCTTTAAAAGGACATTTGTGTAACTGACACTGGCTTCTTTGCGTACTAAATATATTCATGTCCTCCAAGTATACAAGCCCTTTAAAATGTAAAGCTTAGGCAAGCACTTTATCAAGCTGGTCTACTCCAATCTAAAGTTTTGTCTGTAGCAATAGTTTCTTTCATACTTATATAAAAAATAATAAATTTGGTTGGGAATTTATTTACGTCATTTTATGTTTTATAACTAGATAAAAACAACCTGTTATCAATAAGCGACATATACAATTTTGTGTTACTTTTATATTGGGATAGGAACTTAAATGTGTTTTTGGAAGGTAATAAGTAAATCTTGATTTGTTTAAAGGCTGACAATGTGGAACATGAAAATAGTTTGCCACTTTTCCACAAAAAGGATTCAGGAGCTCTCTTAGTTTATTTGATTCATGTTTCAGATATAATGTTGAATTGTGTCAGCTGATATTCCATACAGACTAAGGAAACAATGAAAACTCTGTAAAAGTATATTTAAGAAAGAGGCAAAGATCAGCTTCAGAAATAAAACACTTCACCTAAGATCTGTCAACAGTCCAGCCTCACCTGAGTTAAGACTCTACCTCTCACCTTACTCTATATTAGGATGGTTCCAAAGTAGGCTAAACTTAAGCTTATTTAAAGTTGTGTTCAAAAGATAGATTTTTGTTGTAAAGATTACTGTGATCTCAAATAACAAAGGGATATAATACAAAACTAAGTAAGATTTGGGCAAGTTATAAAAGATATGTAAGATTATAAGAGAGTTTTAAAGAAAAGTAAAAATAAAGGATTGCCTGTGATTGTGTTGATAAATTTATGTGTCTCTGTGGAGGCAAAATAGATATCAAAGGCATCAAAAAGTCTGGGTCTTTTTAAACTAATAAAGCTTGTATCTTCCAGATTACAATTCCACGTTAATAGGATGGAAACACAAGAATATCAATCCATCCCTGCAATTAAAGCCAGCAATATATCTCCTTTACAATAGTCAGAGTGAGATTTTTGACCCCTGACTAGGCAGGGTCATCACCCCTTGCCAGTCTGAAGCAGCCATAAGAGGCAGATTTTCATTCCTCACCAGCCCTTAAGATTAGGGATCAAAGTCTCAGCAGGAGAATGAGATAGGGATTTAGGATAAGGAGAGAGAAATATGGACTCTTAATGGAAACACCCTCAAGCTACTGAGATGCAGAAAACACAATTGTAAACTTGGCCCATGCCCTTGAAAAATGAGGGAAATTTGAAAGTGTAGGAAAACTGGTATAAAATTGTGCAGCTCCCCTAGACTCACCTCCAGACTGGTCTCTGATACAGACATTCTATAAATACTGGATCCCTACCCCAGGTCTGGGCTGCTTCTCACTCTCAAGACAGTCCACATTCTCTCTTGAATATGTATCTACCTTCCTAAATAATCCTCTGTCTATGCCTATGTCTGGCTCGTGCTGAAATTCTTTTCCGTCACATACGGCAAGAACCCTGCTACTCCTGGATTGAGTCCCCCCCATTCTCTGGGAACTCCTTGGACCCTCCTCCAGAGACATCTCTTCCTCCATGACTAAAGGACATTACAGAGCTGACCAAAAGGAACCATTATATACCACAAATTCTTGAAATTCCTTCCAATCTATGGACATTGTAATTTCTTATTGACCTCTAGAGTCAGATCCCATAATTCCAAATATTCTTTCCAAGAAATGAAATGAAAACAAACAACAAATGTACCTCTCTCAAAGACACTCACTAAGAGACATGTACAA